TCCGCTTCATCCACTTCACTATTGGTCAGTTTACTGAATTAACCACTGATGAAGCGGATTAAGCGTATCAAGTGATTAAGCGGATTAACTATTGCGAGTACCTTAGAGAGCACGAGAAATGTAGAAGTCATGAAGTCCTACGACGAACGGCAACGCCAGCAACCTCAGCAACCGTTGCCGACAACTTATGGCTGTTCCCTTACCAAGCTTCACATAAGAACTAATAGAAAATTTGGAAAAAATAGAAGAAGCAGGACAACAACTCACCTCTGGTCGTAGAATGTAGTATTTCTCACTGGGCGATACAGCCTGGGCCTCAATGTCACTGGTGAATCGGAATGCCTCAGGACCAATTCCAACAGCTTGAATTAGCCAAGTTTATTAGTATGCAGAACTATGATATCAAAAAAATCACCTGTACGTATATAGGATTCGTGACACGTATGAGCGATCTTTTCTGCAAGGTCTATGTAGTGAGCCTAGAAAAATGAAAAGAATAAAATGAAGAAAAAAGTATGAGTTCGGGCACTTACAGCCACAGTAGCATTCTTTTCATTGGCAGACTGGAGAGCAAACATACCGCCAGAAAAACAGGCAAGATGCTCCATCTTGTGTTCCACTCTTTTTCCTCGGATATTTGCAAAATACCTCAAATAGAATCCAAAAATATTATGAGCTATGGGAGGAAGAAGACTCACCATAGATGGTTCCTTTGACTTTCATACAGCATCTTCTTTTCCATAGCAAAGACAGCAGAATCGTACTCTCTTTTAGTGTGCTCATCCTTTTTGCTAGTTATCAGCCAATGTTTGAGCAAATATTCATAAAAACTATCACCCAAGGCACCCAATGAGTGGTCGACTGTAACAGAGGAACAAACTGATTCAAGCGAATGCACCGAAGCATATCGAATATACTCACATGAACACCATTTACCGGTCCTAGGATTAAGATAAAGAGGATAGAGGCCCTCTGGCTTGTCCAATTCACTGAGAAAGCTTCGAATCTTTTCAACCTATATAAAAGTATTCATATAAGCGCGTTAAAGGCAGTAGACAGGCAAAATGGACCCTTGTCGGA